TCATCTTGCATTACTGGGTAGTCTGGGATAAAATCACTGAGAAGGAGCTTCTGTGATCCTGACAGATTAGGTTCTTATATAAGCCATCCCTAAATCTAACAATGTGATCAAATCTAGATAGTCCATTTGGGCATAACAGTTTAAAGCCCATACACAATCTTTTATAATTTTTGCTATTATTGTGGTGGTGGTGGTGGTGGTGGTGGTGGTGATGATGATGATGATGATGATGATGACAACGACGATTATGACGACGATTGATGATGATGATGATGATGATGATGATGATGATGATGATGATGATGATATGGTGGTGGTGGTGGCGGTGGCTCAAAAAAAAAAAGTCTGATTTCTGTGTAATTCTGATGAACATTTTTCAGTAAATACCATACTCCCAGCATTTGTATGAATTGACATGACTTGTCATAACTGATTTCATTTTTAGCTACTGTTTGTTCTTAGGATAAAACAAAAAGAAGAAAGTTTCAGGAAAATGTGGTCAAAACTAGAAGAGCGTGTGAATAGCTATTTCCAATGACCAAATGTAATTTGCCCAGGAAAAGGTGAAGGAAGACTTCTTAAACCGTTTCCTAGCTGTCACTTTTCCCCTGCGGGTTTTCCCCATTGTTACACAACTCTGTCAGTTCTAGACACAGGTGTGGAACCTGTATGAACAACAGAACTATATAAGGCTGAAGTAACAGGTGAAAGGAAAGGTTAGATATCACATACCCGGCCTCTTATCTACTGCAAAGCATTCCCTGTTGATAGTAATTTCCCACTACAAATCGTCATCAACGTTTCATTAAAATATTGGCAAGTGCCATGCTATGTGATGTTAAAGGTAAATTTAACCTTTTAGCAAAATTTAGTAAATAGCAAAATTCTCTTGCATGACTTACAGCTGCAGAAGGATGAGGCCATCTTCATCAGGCAAAGATTTTTGATAAATAAAGACTCCATTCTTCCATCTTGCAGCTTCCACACCTTCCACCCAATGTAATGGATTACAATACATGGGACAGACTGAGAAAGTCTTCAGTTACTGAAGATATACCTCTGCAAGTGACATCTTCACCCTTCCCCAAGGAATAATTTAAATAGCAGGATTTTTGCCATTATGTTCTGGATTGCAGTTGCTTTTTTCCAAAACCTGTATAGGACTCTTCCCCCCTTCTGTACTATCAGTTACTCTTTATGCAGACTCTTCTGCAGTAATGATTTATTATTTTTAAAGGCAATCCTTTTTAAAAAAAATATTTATTGCAAACATTTTGTTTGTCAGGTTGCTATTTTAGGCATAATTACATATTGATTACGGTGGTAATAATGTGTAGACAATTGACACAGGATTGTTTTGATGAAATCCCTCAAGTTGTATGGAGGTTGATTTGGTTTGGTTTTTTGAGTAAATACATTTAAAAATCAAGTCTAGTGGCCTAATTCCCCATAGTTCCAATTAAAACCCATGGAAAATAAAAGATGGTTCCAAAGTATGTTTCTCTCTTACTGTAACCACTGTGTATATGCAATATATGACTTCCTTTTTATATAAAGAAAGCCATATATATACACAGTGGTTACAATAAGATATATACGTATATGTATCTCCTCCATTAACCCCTGAGGATCCATGAGCCCCTGAGAATGTATATATATCCTCAGGGGTTCGTGGATTTTGCAGTGAGGGTATCTTGCCCCAGTTTTTACACTATAAGCCATACATATATCTCAGATAAGGCTGCAGGCCATTTTGACATACAGTCAGCAGTTTACACATGTTTTAGTGCTTGCTGTTGCATATTGTGGGAGATCTACAAAGCTGCAGTACCCCATACTGTCATGATTGCATGACCAAGTCTTACAGCCCTTTGAGGTTTCTTAGAGTCTCCAACATCAAGCCTGAGAAGTGTAAAGCTTTTGCATAAACCTGACAGATACTGGAACACAGTAACCAGATTGCTTACATCAGCACACTAACGAGAACTTGGATGCTTTACTTTTTTGGACTACAGGTGCCAGACCCTTCCCTCCACCACTCAGCAGAATTATACTCCAAAAAAATTAATAAGATTCCTAAGTTCTAGCACTATTCAGTTGTTGTGTAACCTCTGTAAGGTAAAGGTTCCCCTCGACATTTTTAGTCCAGTCGTGCCCGACTCTAGGGGGCGGTGCTCATCCCGCTTTTCAAGCCGTAGAGCCAGCACTTGTCCAAAAACAGTTTCCATTGTCACGTGGCCAGCGTAACTAGGGAGCACCGTTTTACCCTCCCACTGAGATGGTACCTATTTATCTACTCCTATTTACATGCTTTCGAACTGCTAGGTTGGCGAGGAGCTGGGACAAAGTGACGGGAGCTCACTCCATTGCATGGATTCGATCTTACGACTGCTGGTCTGACCCTGCAGCACAGGCTTTTGCGATTTATCCCGCAGCGCCACCACGTCCTTCTGGAGCACATTTCTCAGATCTCGGTTGGATCTGCTTGGGCTGAACATGCCAGTATCCCAGTCCTTTCTTCTGGATTGGTCTCAGAGTCAACAGGCTACTCATCTTCACAAGATCTCAAACGTTGGCAAGGGGGGTCATCTGTAGAAATAATGTGATCAGCAAGTGATAATATCTCTCCAAAAAGCCAGGATAGTTGTGTGCTACCTCTAGGATCGGGACCATTATGCTTTTGAATACCACTTTCTGAGGAACAACTTCAGGCAAGTGCTGTCACACTTGCATTCCTTCTGCTTACTTCCCATGGACATCTGACTGACTATGGTGAAAAATAGGAAGCTAGAGGAGATGAGCCTTTTGTCTGATCTAGTAATGATCTTACTTTGTTCTTGTCTTTCCGTACAGTAGTAGGCAGATTGGGGTGGGCTACCTCTACTTGTTTCAGGATTCCACTTATCATGTAACAATGTGACTTATATTCACTATGTTCATACTGAAGAGCAGGCACTTTTTGTTCATCCCACCTTCTTAGTTAGGCATCCTTCAGTCTCGAAAGACTTTGGTAATGTGCTCTGTATGGAGGACTTGGAGCAGCGTCTAGTGTGGCTGAGGAGGCCAATTCGAGAGTGACAATCCCTTCCACACTGAAGACAAATACAATCTGACCCCATCCAGCTCCCTGCTTTTGCTGCTTTTGTGGCTTCCTCTTTGCCTCAGCCTGCTGGGCAAGGGTCTCTTCAAAATAGGAGAGGCCGTGATGCAGTGCCTGCCTCCAGGCTGAACACTCAGATGTCAAGGTTTCCCATCTGTTGAGGTCTATTCCTAAGGCCTTCAGATCTCGCTTGCAGATGTCCTTGTATCGCAGCTGTGGTCTCCCTCTGGGGCGATTTCCCTGCACTAATTCTCCATAGACAACGCCTCAGCATTCCATTAGTAATTTTAATGGGACTTTTTGAATGGCTGAAGGTGATTCGTGCTCACCAGGAAAAATCCTATGTTTTTTTCCCTATGAATGATGGAAAAGAATCACAGAAAGCTATCTGTAGGCCAATGATTTAAAGCAGAGGTGAACAGTTATGGCCTTTGCAATGTTATTGGACTGCATCTTCTGCCAACGCTAAAGGATGCTGTTGCGCAACATTTGGGGGAGTTCACGGTCATTTTCTCTTGATTTATAGCCACCTAAGTAAAAGTTATTAACATAATCTCACCTCCGTGTAAAACAATCTCAACAAATATATAATCTCTTTCCTTTGGAGATGGCTGACAAAGGGCTTTTAACTTTGCTTGCATAGGCAAAGAAGGATATACATATGCTATATTGCTTTGAATCATGTAACCTCATTACTTTGTACAGCCCAGGAAGTTCTGTCACAAGATAACAGTTTTTAAAATAGACCTTACAACATGCCTACCAACAAATCAAGGTTAAAAGAATATGGTCCTTCATTTAACCTATCCAGATGGCTGAATACAAGAACATAGGGTTTTGAGTTTTTTAAGATAAAAATTCGTTTCTGGAAGTTGCTTGAGCCATACATCCAGATAATCACTGCAGGCTACCAAGATTTCTGAAAAGACTGTATAACTATGCTTCTCTCTTTTTTTGTGTGTGTTTTGTTTTTCTGCTAATTCTGAAAAGGCAACAGAACAAGATGAGTTAACTTGTTCTTTAAAAGGTTGCACAGCTGGTAAGAGTGGGCAAAACCATGCAGAGAAAATGAATCAAAGCAAGACAGCAGCCCTAACACAGTTTTCCAAAACACTGAATATGCAAGTTAAATCTGTTGCCTGACTGACTTAATATACACAGTCACATGAGGTGAGGGATCATGCCAGCATGCCTTTGCATCAGTTGCTCAGTAAGCTCCACAATACTCAGCAGACCCAGAGATATCAGCGTGCTGAGAAATACTATCAACAGAGCACAGCTCATCTTGAGCAAGATGGTCAGAATATCATGCTGTATCCTTCTCAAAGAATCGTTTAAGGAAAAAATAAATTATTCTACGTTAGTTCCTGAAACATTTCCAGTAACATTGCACTTTGAAGTGATTAATGCGGGGGAGGGGGGAGGTTCCACAAAAGTTTCAGAAATATAACTATCATAGAAATAAGTTCACAGAAAAAACAGGCTTCGGGTCCAAAGCTTTGTTACCATAGTCTCTGAAATAGTGGGTGGGGTAATTTAGCTAGGGGTGATTGATCAGAAAATCAGCCAGCTCAATCAAATATTATGATGAGGGGACATAGTAGTGCACAATTTGATATTAAAATTTAAAACTAGTGGTTCATTGGACATTCAGTCCAGGACTAAAACAGTGTTAGAGAGAGAGGCAGGGCTTACAAGCAGATGTGCTCCAGGCATCCTAAAGGAAGAGGAAGAGTTAATCTCATACCATAGGCTAAACCACATGTTAGTCTTAACTAGAAAAGACTTATTCAAATCAGTGGAATTTAAGGAATGTTCCATTAATATGTCCCATTGTTCCTCCATTGTTCTTTTGCACATGCAAAATGATGGGTTTGAATCAAGGAGACTTGAAGCAAGGAAGGTTGGTGGACAGCATCTGAGCACAAATCAGATTGCAATTACATTATGGAGGTGTGTAATTTAGACCCCCCAAGCTAGGCTGAACATTTGGATATGTTTATAGATCAGTTTGCTAAATATTTAAAGAACGGAGAAATTATAATTGTAGACTGAAACTACTCTGATATCTGTTTGAAGACCAACTTGGAGTCATAATATTGGGAAGTTAAAAAAAGCATCCAGGGGGTCGTGTATCCTGAACCTGGTCTTCACCAAGGTAAATATTGGTAAATAAGATTGAAATATGGAGTCTTGGGGAGAGAGAAGAGATCATGCCTTCTTTGGGGTTATTATAATGAAGAAAGGAAAAAATGGGAATAACAAGATTTGTACTCTGAACTATAAGAAAGAAATCAACAAGCTTGGAGGGAGAAAAAACACGGAAATGGTAGATTCACTGTATGGAAAAGATGGAGAAGTACTAATAAGTAAGAAAGAGAAGCCAGAATTTCTCAGCATTACTTACTTTGCCTCTGTCTTTTCTCAAAATCTGAACCAGTGCTCAGCACCGGGCAAATAGAATAATTTTATTTATTCATTCGATTTATACCCCGCCCCCCTAGACAGCGTCTACTCCGGGTGGCTTACAAAATCATAAAATATCATTAAATAACAATAAAAACATCACAATCAAAAATAAACAACATTCATAATCGTAAAAACATTTGAACAATAATATAGCATGATCAAGATGGGAAATAAAAACAGAAAGATAGAATTCAAGAATTGACAAGAGGGAAAGCCTGCCTGAAGAGCCAAGTTTTTAAATGGCTCTTAAAAACACCCAGCGAGGGAGCCAGGCGGATCTCTGATGGAAGACCATTCCATAGTCGAGGGGCCACTGCAGAGAAGGCCCAGTTTCTTGTTCTTTCTTTCCGGGCCTCTCTTGGCGTTAGGCCCCTCAACCGACCCTCCTGGCTATGCTGAGTAATTCAGGTAGATCTGGGTGGGAGAAGGCGATCTGCCAAATACCGAGGTCCCAAACCGTTTAGGGCTCTATACGTCATCATTAACACTTGGAAGTCAATGCGGAAGCGGATGGGAAGCCAGTGTAGGGCAGCCAGAGGGGGAGAGATATGCTGGCGTTTTCTCACCCCACTAAGAAGTATGGCCGCCACGTTCTGCACCATTTGAAGCTTCTGCATCAATCTCAAAGGTAGCCCCACATAGAGCGCATTACAGTGGTCTGATCGTGAGATTACGAGCACGTGGACGAGAGTAGTGAGGGACCCCCCATCAAGTTAGGGCCGCAGCTGGGCGATCCACCACAGATGAAAATAGGCGGAGTGGGCCATGGACACCACCTGGGTTTCCATGGTAAGCGCTGGATCCAGATGTATCCCCAAGCTGCAGACCTCTAAAAGAGGCAGTGATGACTGCTGCCTAAGGTATGTAAAAAGGTGTTACAGAAACAATTGTTTTAAATCAGCTTAAGTCTCCAGGGCCAGATAAACAGCATCCGAAGTGCAAAAATAAAATAAAATCATAGAGTCTCTTCCTTTAGTCTTCAAGAATTCCTGGACAAAAAAGTGAAGTCCCTGAAGACCAGAAGTATATAAATATTGTCTCCAGCTTCAGAAAAGAGAGAGAGAGAGAGAGAGAGAATCCAGGCAACACCTAACCAGTCAGCTTGACATCAATACCAAGAAAGATGCCAGAACAGATAATTAAACATTTGATCTGTCAGCACTCAAAACAAAAGCCATTTCACACCAAAACAAGAAAAGTAAATAGATATCCTTGACATTGCACTGATAAACTTTCTCCTGTCTAGCGCAGGAGGTAGCAATAACCAGCCTCATATATTTACAACAGTTTCATCTAAGGATGCACTCATGCACACACTTTCTAGGAAGTAAGCCGCATAGCAGAACTTACTTTTCAGTAAACACATGTCTATTCTGTTTTTTATGTTACAGTGCATCAAGAAGGATCTAATAAACCTCCCAAGTTTTCTCTCCTTACCATATTTATTTGAGGTGTTTTTTGTTTTTGTTTTTTGGTATTTTACTGGACCTCTTGGCACAGTGGTTAAATTGCTGTACTGCCACCAAAACTGTGCTTACTACCTGGGGTTCGATGCCAGGTAGCCGTTTCAAGGTTGACTCAACCTTCTATCCTTCCGAGGTTGGTAGGAACAAGGTGGGGGGGGGGAACAAGGTGTAGCCTGCATAATTGAATTGTAAACCATCCAAAGAGTGCTTTAAGCACTATGAGGCAGTATTTAAACAGCACACTTTGCTTTTTTCAGTATGCCACAATTTATTGAGCTACTCTTTTCTAACTGCAGCAGTACAACCTTCTGCTTGGTGGTGACCCAATATCTTTTATCTGAAATGACTGAGGAGAGTGTTGTACGATAACAGAGAAACAGGAAAACACCTGGAGGAAAACAAATACAACAAAAAATAAAGAAGACAAAAACACAGTATAGCACCTCAAAAACTGTTATATTTTCATGTGACCTTCTGTGGGCAAGTCTATTTCTTCAGAAAACTCACATCAAAATATAGTAGTTATTCTTTAAGGTGCCATTACACCTTTGTCCTCTTTAATTTTTTTTTTATTTACTTTTGGTTTTGCCAAATATGCTAGCATTAACATACCTGCCTCTTCAAAAACTACAATCCTGGAGAAGAGTAATTTAGATCAACCAAACATGGAGATTCCTTACACAAAAATCTGATATCCAAAGCCAGTTTTGTGCCATTATTGGTGTATAAATACTGTGTCTAGGATACAGTGAAATAATAAGCATTCACAAGTCAAAACTACGTACACAGTCAGAGTTTTTGTCTTAGTTTCAATGTACCATTTGAATATATATTTCAGCACACCTATGTATGAGTATGATAGGGTGCTTCATACTCAACAGTTGATGTCCCAGACCTCAAATTGGCAATAATTGACCACTTCCTTCCTTCCTTCCTTCCTTCCTTCCTTCCTTCCTTCCTTCCTTCCTTCTTCTTCCCAAGTCATTGTTGTGCCTGCCTTCTTAGGTGCTTTAGGTGCTGTTTCAAGCAATACTACAATGCAAATGATGTGGTGTCCCTTAAATATCTCTCAAGGGGAGAATGAAATGGGGCCAATAAAGAAGGCAAGGACTCGTGCTTTCAAAATATTGGCTACTGGCATGATTCAAAAGCATTTAAGCACCCATGTATTTATTTGTTTGTTTAAAAATTTTTACCCCACCTTTCTCCTTAAAAGGACCCCAGGTAGCTGACTATTTCTGGGGTTTAGATACTGAGAGTTGCTCTTAGAGTGACATTGCAAGGAATTTATGAATTAATTTAATACTGTGTTGGTGATATATAAACATTGTGGGACAGAAGAGTCATTTATCTTAAGCTGGCAGATGGTATTTAAATTATTTTGCTTCATATAAGAAATGGCTGGTATAAGGATATTATTTACTGTAATCTCTGGAATATGTATGCTGTAATTAGCTGTCCTTAGTGAGTGTTGTGTATGTCTTTCAAATGTTTTGTTTCCTGTTAGTGTAGTAGAAGTCTTCAGTGAGTGCTCTTCTAGATACCCAGATCCCAATAGGTTTGCGTTTACACATTCTTTAGTCTATTTCATCAGATTAAGTATCCATGCTAACCTGAAGTATGCATTTTATCTAGATACGCATTTTATTCAGTTATGTTGTATTCAATAGAAGATACCGTATTTCTGACTAGCAGCTAAAACTTTCTGGGATCATAGACCTTGTTCTCACCAAGGCAATAAACCCATTTCTGGGCTGTACCATGTTAGACTATAAATGGTGGACCCTTTGATTTTATACTGTGAATGCATATGCTATCATGAGGAGAGAGGAAGATGGTGGAAAGTGGAAGAAAAACGCATCTCCAGTGTTCATATTAAAGAATTTCCCAACAGAGGCCACAACTTTAAGAGTGCATTTCACTGCAATTAACTACTCAGTAACTTTATTACATACACACTTATTGGAGAGTATGTTTGATTTAACTCATTAGGACTTCCGTTGGAGCAGATACATATAAAAGTAAGATGTAACTTACTGAGAAGTAAGGTCCATGGAGCGCTGGAGCACTTACCTATTAAGTAGTTTTACCTACTTGATCCACTGTGGAGTTTTCTAGCCCCAATTCTGTCAACTAATTCTGACAATTTCATAAAACTTTCCTGGCAACTTATACCTTGCAAATCTTTCTGTGGACTGTTCTCTGAAATGGTTCACTTGCTACTGTATGGGAAGAACCAGACACCCACCCACACATTCTGTTTTGAGAATTCCTTGGTGTGCTTAAGAATCAGTGGTCAGTATCCTGATAAATATTTATTTGCATGGAACTACAGGTGCAGAAGCTGCTGATGCTGCCTGATGAGGTGCAGGTTATGAACAATTATGTGCCTTATAGGTGACCAGGTGATACACTCAGGGCATGCAACCATACCTTGTCAGATCATGGCAGCAGCTTCTGTGACAGGATCACCAAACGTGTAAATATTTAATAGGATACTGGCCACTAATAAATACCTTTATATGGTCGCCCAGTATAACAACTCTATATAAGCATTCAGGGCACACTTGAATGGAAAATGTACTTTGGGGTGTGCATTCCCCTTAGATAAAGAAAGTGGGAAAACCTGTGGGGGCAGGGGAGGTCCACAAGCTTGCTCACTGAAAATTCTTATGCCGAGATCAAGAATGTTTGTATGTCCAAATTACATGAGCTGGTGCCTATTTTGAGTCCTCAGATTCAACTTTAATTTTTGGATTCTATATTTAGTGGGTAAAAATATATTTTAAACAGGGTAAATCCTACCTTGAAGCCTAATTAGATCTTTTAGGCTATAATTCTATATATACTGTGTATATATACCCTGTTTCCCCAAAAATAAGACCTAACCTGAAAATAAGCCCTAGTATGATTTTTCAGGATGCTCGTAATATAAGCCCTACCCCAAAAATAAGCCCTAGTTAAGTGAAACCCAACCACCACCATTGTGCAGCAACCAGAAGATGACATGACTGTATTTGAATGAATGTAGATTGTTGTACATGAAAAAAAATCTCCTGAAAATAAGCCCTAATGTGTTTTTGGAGCAAAAATTAATATAAGATCCTGTCTTATTTTCAGGGAAACATGGTGTGTGTGTATATATATATTTTTGCTCCAAAAACACAATAGGGCTTATTTTCAGGGGATGTTTTTCTCCGAAACTAAGGACTATATGTAAAAACATAAGACAAGCACTGCTGGATCAGGCCAAGGGCCCATCTAGTCCAGCTTCTTGTATCTCACAGTGGCCCCACCAGATGCCTCTGGGAGCACATGAGACAACTAGGCACCTGTCCCCTGCATCTGACATTTTGAGTTAGCACAGCTGTGTTGTGTAATCCTTCAAATCTTCCTGCAAATAATTCTGAACATTTGAATGTGTCCCCTCCTGGTAAACTAGGAGCCAGTCACTATGCTTTGAAGAGTTCTCAGGAGATGTATGTTATGTCTTTTTGTATTATTGATGTTTTAATTTGCTACTTTATAAATGTTTCTTTCATTTTTGTCCTTGCTCTCTTTTCATTTAAGCAACTTGTTGCTGCTCTTGTTGTTGTTGTTGCTGCTCCTTGTTGTTTTACTTGCAGACTGCTGGGAAGGAAATTCCAAAACCTCACTCAAGCCCTCCATAATCATGCTTCTCTCTCAGATGTTTTTGGTTTGGGTCTTTTGACTGTTGTCTTGCCGTGAACTTTGCAGATTTGTTTATGAGTGCCACCGTGCTTCTGCTGCATCTGCATTGTCACCGTGATGGTATTTTTTTTCTTTCTGTCTGTTTCTTCCACAGGAGTTTAACAAGTAATCTGCCCAATGTGAATCTACCAAATGTGAACCTCCCTAAAGTTCCAAACCTACCAGTTAACATCCCACTAGGCATCCCCCAAATGCCTGCCTTTTCTGCACCGTCATGGATGGCTGCTATATATGATGCTGAGTGTGTATTCAGTTCAATAGATATCATTTAAATCAAAAGTAATCTTGGCATGGATATGGATTGCTTATTTCTCTCTTATTTCTCTCAATATATTTAGATACATCACCCTTTCAGAAGAACAACTGAGATTGTAGGGGAGGGGGAAAGTGACTAAATGCGTCATACAGTTCTCTGTAATTTCACATTTCTTTTACCCACTTGGATCAGCGTATCTATTGATAAAATGGTTTGAATTCCTTTGTTTTTATAGGCTTGCAAATCTGAGCCATGTGTTTATTTTGGGTTTTTTTTAATCACTTTGTAAATGAAAACCATCTTGTTGATGAACTATATCAAAATTTAAAAAGCAAACATTTTCTGTTTGCCTAATTCCAGGTTGCCTGTATGATTGTCCAAATGTTTTTTTCCATACTGTTGGGAGGAATGTATCTGGAAAAATATGTATTTACTGTTGAAGTTTAGAGACTTCCTTAAGCTTGTCTAGAACTGCAGCCTAGCACACCAATCTTATAATTAAATAACCGGGGGGGGGGCGAATCAGTCACACAGATGTCAATTGCTGTGATGTATGGGTGGCCTCATTAATGTACTTGGCTCACCCTTGCTTACAAGAGGCTCTCTCTGTGTGTAGTGTAGGGGAGGGCAAGTGTGTCCATTTAGGAGATGTTAGACCACAATTCATAGCAATTCTCTCCACTGGCCACAATGAATGACTTGATTGAGAAATAGACTTCAAAAACCTCTTGGGGATTATACTTCCCCCCAACATCATAAGAGAACACTGAAAGAGAAAGCTTACCCAAGATTGAGTGTAAAAAAAAATCGCCCATAGGGACCATCGTTAAACGAAGCGTAAAAACACTCTGAAAAAGTCATCGCTAAGCGATTTCGTCCTTAAACGAAGCAATTGCTAAGCGAGGCACCACTGTATATGAGATGGGCTTTACTTTAAGAAAAGAGTAAAGCACGGCTGAGAGGGCTAGATCAGGATCATAGGAGGGGAACCTTTGCTCTGTGACATTTTCTTTGGTGAAAGGACTCCTTTTGCGCTCCTGGGGACCGAAATGATCCCTGTATATTTCCAATGCTGGTAAATAATAGTTTCATAGTGTGGCTTTAACTGAGGAATTCCAGACCAACTGCTATCCTAGTAGTTTTTTATAACTTAAAAATGCAAAAAGAAAAGATCCTAGATATCCCAGGTGACATCTAGTCTGTAATTAAATCCAATTAAAATTATAAACATGCCACTTTAAACAGGATTTGAGATGTGAAGTCTAAAAATTACATAACAAGCTACATTACTTTTTTTGAACAATCATTCAGGAACAGGAATCTGTATTTAAATTCCTTCTGAAAGTTTGTACTAAAACTTTGCATGTTTAAAACAGAGTCAAATGAACTGCTATTGCAACAAAATAATATATATTTTATTAACGTATTTTATGACTCTTAAAAATACTGAAATTAATAATTTTGGAAATACAACTCATATCCATGCTAAGCTGACTTGTTAAAGGCTAGACTAGACTAGGCAGTATGTGAAAATAATACATGAAATATTTACTTTTTCTCTGTGCATGCTCTGTGATATTGTTTTGTTTTTTTGTTTTTGAAAAGATAAGAATCAAGGCCTCAGTCCTAAGCATGCTTACTCATGAGTAGGTCTCATTGGATACTTGGAATGGCACATACCCATGAGTGCATGGATTTAGGATTACAGCCAAAGTCATCCCAGTGGAGCAGTCATCTTGAACTTTTCTATTAGAAAGAGAATTATGAAAACACCTTCTACAAATGATACAATAAAATAAAGCAAGTTAGTGCTGTTGAATGAGATAATAAACTCGTCAGCTTGAACTTTCTTGTGTGTTACTCATTTAAAAAACAACAACAGTAAGCTCTTCAAATGGAAAATGCAAAACAACCCCGAAATAATTCTATCTGAAAATGCTGGGAGCAGATGGATGTAATCATGTTGTAATAATAAATAAATACTATTGCATTCCTGGGCATCTAATTGCTTTAAACAGAAATACACTCTGTTCCAAAAGCAGGGTTAGACTGTTGTGTTGGTATTTTGTTTTTTTAGAAAAGGTACTGATTCCCAATTTAGGTTTAAGCTAAAAAAAGAAAAGAAAAGAAATGTGCTACACCAATTCATGCCACTACTTTGATTAAACAACCACTCAAGGAAATGCCTGATTCTCTATCTTTTCACTGATCCTTGGCTCCTTTCTACCCATTAAGAAACTGTTTCAGTGTTTCCACATTGTTACATGGATACATGTATTTCCTATAACTACGCCACTGCATTCTTTGCATAATTATCTCTGTTAGTACAGAATTCAAAGGACTCGTCTTGGCATGTTGGGAATATGGTTTCCACCCTGCAGTAGCCACGTGTGCATTTAGTTATATATTTCCTTTCGTAGCATTAACTCAATGCAGCTGACATCTGTCACAGTAGAAACACCCTTTTACCCGTTTCTATATAGACGATATCAGCATGACCTGCTAATGCATGGTGTGTCAATATAAATCACTGTGTTAGCATTAGTGGTATGCGAGGAGAGTGGGATAAATATCTGCCTTGGTCATAATCATTTTTGTTTTAAAAAAAAGGAGGGAATGGAAAACGTTCATAAATAAACACTTAACTTTCTCAGCATAACTTTATCATAGTTTGTCATTTGTCCTACGGGTAGAGGAGTAATTGTAGCTGAAGAGAAGCCTAATCAGCAGCAAACAGGATAACACCATATATACAGAAGATTTGGGTAAAACAAACCTTCACGTTTGGAAACAAATCTAATATATAAAGACACAGCAAAAAAAGAAAAAAATTTCCAGAAGTTTTGCCCTATATATTTGTCTTTCTTTCCTCCCACCCATGCCAAAATGCGAAATAGATAAGATTTAAAGTGGTCAGCCAAGCCAAAACTTTTCAATATATATATAAAAAGATGTCTTATTGTGACTAATTCAACTGCTTTACCCTGATTGCCTTCCAGCTGTTCAAAAATTGGGTCCTCGCTCACCACTTGTTAGCACTGTTTCTTGTTTTCCCTCAAAACCCTCATGCTAAGGGAAAGCGGGGAGGTAAGGGAAGAATGACAAACCCTTTCCTTGGGGGAAATGCATGAAATCTTAAAAAAATAACCACATACATTTGCGTACTGCGGTTATTACCAATTAAAGATTTCCCTTCACATTGTACAAGAGAGCCTTCAATTCAATAACTACGTACGCTAATGTGGTTATTGAAAAAGGGCTGATTTTGTGTTGTTCCCATATGCACTGTTTCCAAATAAACGTCTGTTATCTTCTTATTTTACTTGTCTTCCCTGTCTCATCTGGAAAGACTTGTAAGAACTAGATAGACTAGAAAAATTGTACAGTGGAAGACAAAAAAAAAAACCAACCCTGATGATGGAGATTCTCCCTGGCATTGTTCTGTGTCTCCACTTTCCAGTCACTGTTATGCCCCATTACATGTGCAAGAATAATCTCCACATCAGGTTTCCGAAACTAGGGAGCAGGTTGTAATCTCTTCTGTCATTTTTATTTTTTCATGTTATCCTGGCAGCAATGGATCAGGAACATCAGAAGATCTGTTTTGGAAGCTAGATGCCTTACAGACCTTCATCAGGGATCTCCACTGGCCAGAGGAAGAATTTGCAAAACACTTAGAACAGCGGCTAAAACTTATGGCTAGTGATATGATCGAGTCCTGTGTGAAGAGGTAAATATAAATATCTAAGTGGGAAGGATTCTCCACAGCTAATATGCACAAGCTTGTCTCCAGTTACAGGAGGCACATGTATCACATATTCTTCAGCCATCTTTTCTTTAAGCTCCCGGGGAGAAAGCTCTAGGAAGCAATCCCTTTTGTGAGCTACAAGTTCCTTAAAGTCTCAGCCAGTATGGAGGATTATCTGGGCTGAAAAAGTAACTTTTCCAAGCCTTTGCCTAGATCACAATCTGTGAATCAGTAGGTTTCTAAACAACGGATTGCCTTGGAGTTTGAACAAGAGTTCAAAGTAATGGCGAAGAAGGCAAGTTTCTATAAGGCTTTTATTTGACAGTGAAGGATAACTTGGCCAACATCACAACTTGGGCAAAAACTATCTTTCTGGACAGAACTGCATGTGGAAGAAGACATGAAGCTGCTGCCAGAGATGGTGGGCCCATTGGTTTCTTTCCTACTTTTCTCTGTCTAATTCTCTTCTGCAGTTGACTGCATGATATGACACCATGTCATGTTTGCTCTACATCTGCAACTGAAGTAGAAAGAGGCTGGAAAAATCACAGTGGGTGAAGGGAAGAAACAGACAGGATGCCTACACTTTGTGGCAGTCCCTTGTCTTCCACCATCATGGCTAGAATGGAAGCCAAATTTTAATGGAACTAACTTTATTAGGACTGGAAGAACTGAAAAGTTTTCTGAAAACAATTATACACTCAATATTAACTGCTGCTTTTGCCGTGGAACCCAAGGAAGTGATCTATATTTATTTGCCAAAGAGACAACTTACAGTTGTTTTTTGTGACACTTGAGATGTCAACAAAAAGAAGCAAACAAGACACACTCTGAAAAAAAAAATGCAGTAATTCAGTATTATTTCAAAATCAAACAATTAACAGGTTTGTAAAATTTGTGCTTACCTCTGGGCATCCACATAGTTTTCTATAATTATGTGAGCTTTCTATTTGATCCTTTTTGTGCCATCAATATTTCGTGTCAGCTACAATTTAGTAAATATTTTGCAACATTTTATTGATGTTTTATAGGTATGCATTATGATCATTTATCTTGAGAACATCAAGACACTGTTCAGTTAGTATGTGAAGCTGCTTACTAAAATTTCTTGTCTCTTAATATTCTGAAAGGCACAGTGAAAATAAAGAGCTATTTTCAAATGTTTTCCCAAATGCTATCTGCTTTGATTTGCAAGTTTGACTCATTGACTAAAATACTGGTGCTTAGAATTCTAAGTTGCAGCTACAGTCGCTCCATTAAATTGCTAGGGATTTGGTGAGTTGACTCCTCTGTCAACTCCTTCCATGAATCTAGCTGTGATTTACTATGCTAAGCAACAGGATTTCAGTCATTCTTTCCCTTTCCTTGGTCTTCCTGGTGGCGGCTTTCAGCAGCAAGTCGCACAGAACTTTTCTTTAAGCAAAATACTTATTTTCTGCCTGAAAAGCAGATCACCACAACTAAACGGTTTAGGGCCTCGATATTTGACGAAACGCCTTCTACCGCCAAGATCTACCCGTGTTACTCGCGCGAGCCAGGGGGTGAGGCTGAGGAGCCTAACGCCGAGGGAGGCCCGGAAGGAAAAGACAAGAAATCGGGCCTTCTCGGCGGTGGCTCCTCGCCTCTGGAATAACCTTCCCCCTGATATTCGCCCGGCCCCCTCGCTGGGTATTTTCGAAAAGCAACTAAAAACATTGATGTTTCGGCAGGCCTTCCCCCCCCCCCCAGTTAATTCCTGACTCCTCTTTCCTTCTTTTTCCTAGTGTTTTATCCAATTGTTGAAAGTTTTCCTCTTTGTAAAATGGTTTTTATTATTGTTGTTCCCTTTGTTGTGAGCCGCCTAGAGTGGTCTATCGACTAGATAGGCGGGATATAAATAAAATAAATAAATAAATAAAAAATTTAAAGCTCGTTAACCTTCCCTACCAAAACATTTGGCTCAAGTTTGTGTTTGTTGCATTGTGTTACTTGTACCAAATTTCAGAATGTCTTTGCCTTCACAATATCTCATTGGTCACAAGAATAATGTGTTGGTTGCAGTATCCTTAATGATCAACAAACTATTTCTTCTTTATCATATTTTACAGAACAAGGATTGCATTTGAAGCAAAGCTGCAAAAAACAAGTCGGTCAACTGATTTCAGAGTCCCTCAGTCAATATGCACCATGTTTAATGTTATGGTAGATGCCAAAGCTCAGTCAACAAAACTTTGCAGTATGGAAATGGGCCAAGAGGTAAAAATATTCATATATGTATATATTTAAGAAATGTAGTTTAAAAATCTGCATCTCATATTCTGCTGAGTTCAGAAACATTCTAACAGTTGTGGATTCAGTTTTTCATATATAGACTATTCAGATGAAAATGCAGGGTCACCCCACCAAATCTCTATAATGAATATGGATACTCAGAACCCCAGTCACTTAGTTAGAAGTGACTGTTGGCAAGGACTGTGATGTGCACAAGGTACCTCTAAAGCCTATTTTTGCATGGCAGTGTTTTATACTGAGTCATTAATGCCACCTTGGAATCAGACATGTGGCTGTCTAAAGTCTCTGAGTTTAAATACAACAATCAGGTAACAGAGGAGCTATTATTTTACTATCAAGCAGAGAAAGCCTCTTGAGAAGCAAAAGCACTGAAGTAATGGAAATAAATTGTTCAAGCCGTTTGTTCTAAATGACATCCATTCCCAATTGATTTGGGTTTTACAGAAATTTATGTTTATAAATACTTCCAGGTTCTTAATGACTCAGAGGATTCAAACTGGTCGAGGTTTATCATCTGCTGGTCTAATTTGTTCTTCTCAAAAACATTCTTGCAACTATGAAAATTTCCATTTGTGATGTTGTGAAGTAGAAAGACATGCTGAATTGGGCTAGTTGAAATACATCATCATATAATCCTTTTTTTGTTGTTGTGTTTTTTTTTTTTTTTTTTTTTTTTTTTTGCTTTGAAAGCTTTAAGTAATGTTCCATATTTTTCACCTCAGTTTATGAGCAATCCCGACATCAGCCTTGGATTCTCCTGTCTCATTCTTAGTACTCCATACTACTGAAAATTTTCATGTTCACAATCTACTTTTTGCTTTATTTTTTAATAAAAGCCTCGTTCTGGTACTTACTGTATAAAATGAGATCCAATCCAGAACCTTCAAGAAAGGATTAAGTTTTGATTGCTGTGAGCATTAGTTTGGGTTCTTTCGTCTTCATGTTTGTTTCTTTGTTTAGTACATCATCTGTCTTTTAGCTGTCTCTCTCGTTATAGTGAGCATTAATTTGGGTTCTTTCGTCTTCATGTTTGTTTGTTTGTTTGTTTAGTACAACATCTGTCTTTTAGCTGTCTCTCTCGTTATTTATCCCACCTCCCTTATCAACGCTGAAGCATACTTTTAAAAGAACTCTCATTATTCCTGAATTAAGCTACTACAGGCCAATCATTTCTACACCAAAATTCCTTACCACCACGATTCCTAACCTCCATCCAGAAGTAAGAACGAATGAAGCTGTGTTCAAGCATTTTTTTTAATGCATAGTGAATGGATAGAGGGATGGAATTGTAAATGATGCCCCATCAGTCCCTTCTCGTGCTTTATTGAAGGGCAAGATAAGAAAAAGTATTTTACTCATATTCAACTCACACAGAAGTACCCCTTCAGTCCTCCTAACTTCGTATGAATAGAGGACTCAGGAGACAGGGACAGGAGCATTACTTACAATCTTCACACATCCAGCCAAACACTGGATGCATACTTAGGACAAGAGAGAGCCCAGGAACTGTGAGGGAAGCCTTTCTAGTGTTTCTTTCCTCTAAAAGGAAAAAGGAGAAAACGAAAGCCCTTCAGAAACATCTGTGTTGTGAAGTGATATTTTCTATAATGCATGGCATGATCAGACTTCAACCACAACAGTTAATTGCTGAGGTTTTTCTGGAATGAATCAAATGCCAAGAAAAGGATAATAATTCGATGGCTGGAATCTAGTTTGTCACTGTATAACGTAAAGTTACACAGACGTAATGTTGTCAGACATTGTGTTCAGGCAACACAGATTGCATAGTTCACTTCCATGTGTAGTTACACAGTTCCCTTCACAACCAATGGCACAATACACTTTGTAGGTAGCATTTCCCACCTTGACAAAACTGTAGCTCTCATGGGTGTAATGTCACATTATACCCGGGTAACCATGCAGCAGGATTTCAGCCAATGAGATGGGGAATAACAAGCCAAGTAACAGGTGAATAGACTGGAAAATATTATTACCACTTTGGTGTAGGCTGGATAGATAGTTCAGTGAGTTGGGTAGCTAGCTATGAAAGGAGACACTGGGAGTTTGATTCCATACTACGCCTTCTAGGTGAAGAGCCAGACTGTGTAGCCCTGGGCAAGCAGCACAGTATGCAGGTAATGCTTGTCAGATTTGTAGATGATGCAGAATTGGGTGAAATAGCTAATACCCTGGAAAACAGAAAAAAAATTCAAAAAGATTTTGATAAGCTTGAACAATGGGCTGGAAACAACAGCATTTAAAGGGATAAGTACAAAGTTTTAATCTAGGAAAAGGAAATGCGCAGTAACAAGATGAGGGAAATTTGGCTCAATAATACTGCATGCGAGAAGGATCTTGGAATTACGGTAGCACACAAGCGGAATATGAGCCAACAGTGCAATGTGGCTGCAAAAAAAAAGGCAAATGCTATCTTAAGTTGCATTAACAGAAGTATAGTCTCCTAATCTCATGAAATACTAGTTCCTCTGTTTGGCACTGGTTGGGTCTCATCTTGAGTACTCTGGGCATCACACTTTAAGAAGGATGCAGAAAAATAGGAACAGGTTCAGAGAAGGGTGATGAGGAAAATCCAGAAACTGGAAACCAAGTCCTGTGAAGAAAGATAGAAATAACTGGGCCTATTTAGCTTTAAGAAAAGAAGGCTGTGGGGACATATGATTGTACTTTTCAAATCCTTGGAAAATTGTCATACAGAGGAGAGGCAGGATCTGTTTTTGATCATCCAAGAGTGCAGGGCATGTAGTAACAGGCTTGGGTTACAGGGTGCCAGATTTAAGTTGACTATTAAGAAGAACTTCCCAGCTGCTAGAGAAGTATAACAGTGGAACAAATTACCCCAGGAGTGCTCCAACGCTGGAGGCATTCAAGAGAAAATTGGATAACCATCTGTCAGATGTGCTTTGATTTGGATTCCTGCATTGAGCACAGGGTTGGACTTGATGGCCTCAGAGGCCTCTTCCAAATCCATGATTTTGTTATTCTACTTCCAAAAAAGGATTGATTGATAAACCACTTCAGAGTACTGTATACCTACAGAACCTTGAAAATCATTGCTGTAAGATGGAATCAAAATGCCAGATGCAGGGGAGGGGTATCAGGAGACAGGTATCTAGTTGTCTGGTGTGCTCCCAGAGGCATCTCGTGGGGCCACTGTGAGATACAGGAAAACTGGACTAGGTGGGCCCTTGGCCTGATCCAGCAGGGCTCTTCTTACGTTGTTATGATGGCACATTGTTGCCATTATTTATATGATGGATCAGGCAAGTAACTACTCTTACTTGCCTGATCCACCACTTGGGTGGGCTAAAACAAATAATCTGTGAACAACGTGAAGTGGTTAGTTACTCATGGTCACATGACTTCCTGTTTCTAGAATATTAGAAACATTAGAATTAGAATATTATATCCAAGTTTTTTCATCGAAGCTTATGAACAACCCCAAACAGTGATCCCTGAATCTTGACAAAAATAAGACATCAACAGCCCTTGAAATAGATGCTAGGTCTTAGTCACACACCATGGCTGAAATCTTAACTGTCCATAAATGGGCTATGAAAATTAATTACCTAGGTTTCTAATTTCTAATTTCTCAGTTGTATCAGTTTCATTTTCATATCAGATATAGCATAGACAAAAGATATAGCATTGCCAGCTTCGGTTTGCTCCCGCCAAACCCCATTTTACTTGATTTGTCACTCACATTATTCTTGCAAATCCATAAACCATCCTGGTAGTTAACCAGCAGCAATTCAGTTGCACAAAGAATCAGCCTTAATCTATCTTGGGCAATCCATCTGTGCTTCTTCAAGGAGGTATTCATATGATATTACAAAGATCACATAGCTATTATGTGAAGTAGCAGATGTAAATGTATTGCATTCTAAAGACAAAGCTGCACAAAATAGACCTGCAAAACAGGTGTGAACTTTCAATATATGTTACTATTTAGGGCTGTAGGATTTCATATACCCCTCCTTTTTCCATCTCTTTTGTTTTATCTTTTATTTGTTTTAATGGATTACTGCCTCATTCCTCATGCTACGTCATTTCTCTTTGCTTTTGTATTGTAAAGTGAAGAACCAATAAGGATCGTAGTACAGTATGTCTAAGGGATATTTATACCAGTTACACCATGTTAATCTTTGACCCTATTCTTCCTCAGCTTAAGTAGGAGATGCCCCTTTCCATGAGGCCAGCCTGATTCCAAAATGATAAGACCATTCATTATTGATGCATTTCTGCTTCACGCTAGCTGCATCCTTAGAAGGATGTGATTTTTCCCCAAGCTACCAGAGTGCTTGGTTATGAATCAGAGTATTTCTAGATCACATGAACTTTCTTCTCAGTGTGTTCCCTGTTCCCATTTCTCTTCTACATGTCCAAAACAGTTGATAAACACCTCTCTTCTTCATTTGTCATGAGGATGATCTAGGCTTATTCCATACACAGGAATGGTCAGTCTTCTGAAGTTCCCACTGTACTGCAAATAATGTAACCAGAAGGTGGACTCAAAGGCTTTTGACCAACGAACTGCTGAAACTCTTCCCACACTAGTCTAAAAATAGTACTGGCCAGGAAACAATTCACTTTGAACTGTGACTTGACTTCCCTATGGTATCTTAAATTCATTCATAGCCTCTACGACATATACAGTTCTATACACCACATAGGGGTCTTGCAACTTTATGAGGAGAAGGAAAAGATATATTTGTAAAGTCTATCCATTAAATCATATTGAGCCAGTTATTTTGTATGATTTTATGTGGATTAATTTGAAATATTTTAGGGAAAGCTTTTTGCTGAACACATAGATCCATATTCTTTCTGTCTCTGTATATTCAAAAGCAGATGTTCAGACATTTGGCGAATATAATTTGCCACTTTAGATAATTAAATTTGCCCTGATTTTTTAATATATCAACAGTCATAAGCCTATATGCCCG